TATATATATATATATATATATATATTATATGTATACAGGCAAGTTTATTATCTTTATGTTGTTATACGTTATCTAGTATACAATATAAAGTTATATCTTTTTTTATACAACAAAATAAAATTAATTTTCTTTCTTTTTCTTCTTTTTCTTTCCTTTCTTCTCTTCTTATTCCTTCTATTCTTGCTGCTATACATGGAAAGTAAGCCTCTAGGGTTTAGGGTTTAGGGTTTAGGGTTTAGGGATGGCTTGGGGGAGCAAAGGTGGCGTGGGAGTGCGCATGTTGTTCCTGCTGCTGCTGCTGTTGCTGCTGCTGCTGTTGCTGCTGCTGCTGTTGCTGCTGCTGCTGTTGCTGCTGCTGCTGTTGCTGCTGCTGCTGTTGCTGCAGCAAAATGGTGTGTCTGTAGATTTAATTTTCTTGTTTTGTATCCTCACCATCTATTTACTCTTATTTATATTTATTTATTTATATTTATTTATATTTATTTATTTATATTTATTTATTTATATTTATTTATTTATTTATATTTATTTATTTATTTATTTATTTTTTGTTTAATAGGAGGACATCTCTTCCTGTTATATCTGAGGCGGTTTCTCTTCATTTAGGGCCTGAAGACTTTAACCCTAAACCCTAAACCCTAAACCCTAAACCCTAAACCCTAGATACGCAGATATAAACCCTTCTTTTTTTCTTTATACCCTCTTCCTTAGGGTATTTAAATAAAGGAAAAGAGAAGGGTTTATAATTAACAAAAAAGGATCTGCCTATACACCCCAATATTAGGGTTTATATATTATATAATATATAAACACTAAATTTAAATTCCTTTTTTTCTTTTTTTTTTCTTTTTTTCTTTTTCTCCTTTATAGACGTTTTAATCATTTGCCTCCTTTGTTTTTGTTGTTTTCTTCTTCTCTCCTTTTTGCTCACATATATTATATTAGTTTATTACTCTAGGGTTTAGGGATTGAGGGTTTAGGGTTTGAGGGGTTAGGGTTTGAGGGTTTAGGGTTTGAGGGTTTAGGGTTTGAGGGTTTAGGGTTTGCGTGTTGATGTCTAGCTCACTTATAACGTCAGTTTACTGGCTGAGGGTTTACTAATTCTTCTGCGCACTCGTAAACCCTAAACCCTCGCTATATTGTGAAGTGTGTAAACCCTAAACCCTAAACACTACAGAGAGTCTAAACCCTAAACCCTCATCGTAGCAATGTCTTACATAGCCGAGGGTTTAGGGTTTACGATGGGCCGAGGGTTTGAACACCAAAAGAAGTATAAACCCTAAGACATTCATGGGGATTAGCGGTTTAGGGTTTAGGGTTTGGGGTAGACGCACCCGTCTCTGATTAAGGGACAACTCGTAAACCCTAAACCCTCGCGGTGCAATTAGGGTTTAGGGGGTTTACAGGGGATGACTGGCCATCTTCCTTCATTAGGGTTTAGGCATTTTGCCTTCGGCATTGAATTTGTTGGGTTTTCTTCGTGGGGAATTTAGGGTTTAGGGTTTAGGGTTTAGGGTTTGTACATTGAATCTCGATATATTGTGCTTGTGTGTCCAGTGCAGGGTTTAGGGTTTAGGTTAGTAAAAGGAAGGCAAGGAAGTTGTTGTGTTAATATGTGTGCAGAAGAGTTGATAAAATAAGGGTTTAGGGTTTAGAGTCCAAGGAAGTCGTATACTTGATTAGGGTTTTGAATCGAGGGTTTGTTCTTCCTAGGGTTTAGGGTTTAGGGTTTAGGGTGCTGGCTGGCGTGCGGCTATGGTCATGATAGTACAGAAGCTCCATTGCTGCCTATAGGAGGAGTATTTTGAGTAAATAACGAAATAAAAATAACAATATTTATAAATATAAATATAAACAGGAAAAAAGCAAATTAAAAAGGGTTTTATTTAGCAGGAAAAGGGCCCCCCCTAATGGCTACAGCGATCTGTGGCTGCTGAGGTGAATGTACACTTGAGTGTGTGTTTAATTGCGGCTGCTGCTCTTCTTCTCACCATTTATCTTCTCTTTGCGTTTATTTCTTCTATTTTATTATCTTAATCAACTAAAAAACAAAAGAAGAAACAAAACAATACCTCTTTTGCCTCCTTTCTTATACGCTGCCCTATCTACAGCTGCGGCTCTCTGCTGCTCTCCTCGCTGCTTCCAGCTCGATTGTAGGGTTTAGGGTTTAGGGTTTAGGGTTTACCTTCTTACCCTTGCTCTGCTTCTTATGAGGTCATATACACTCTTGACTGCGCATACACACTAGATCCTCTCGGCCCTCCCTACATATCTGGTCTCTCTTGGACCGCAGCAGCAGCAGCAGCAGCAGCAGCAGCAGCAAAACGCAAGGGATATTGTTGTAGCAGCAGCAGCAACAACAGCGAACAAAGGCAACGGCAGCGGCATCGGCAGCGACAGCAGCAGCAACCGCAGCGCCTTCGGCACCAACAGCTACGAAGCAACAGCTGCAGCAGCAGCAGCAGCAGCAGCGAACACCGCAGCGACAGAAGCAGCTGCTAAAATAGCAGCAGCAGCAGCAATATAACTGGCAGAAGAGCTGCAGAATAAACTCTAAACCCTAGACCCTAAACCCTAGCAGTGTAGCAGGGTAGGGTATACACCGCGCGTCTCTTTTCCTGTTGTCTGTTTTTTTCTTCTTATCTTTAGAGAGGGCCTTCTGTAGGCCCTCCAATTCTTCTAGGGTTTAGGGTTTAGGGTTTAGGGTTTAGGGTTTGAGGATGTTTGACTTTTGGAGTGTTTTCCGTGACGGGGGGAATACAGAAGAAGAAGGAGAATCTGCTGCTGCTGCATCAGGAGAATCTGCTGCTGCTGCTGCTGCTGCTGCTGCTGGTGCTCCTGTTGCTGCTTTCTTTAATAGTATATTTAAACAACCAACACCTTCAGACCCTTCCTCATGGAATGATTATACTACAGGTACGAGAGGGTTTAGGGTTTAGGGTTTAGGGTTTAGGGTTTATGCCTTACAGGCTTAATTTTGCATGCATATGCATGCATTGTTTAATTAATATATTTATTAAATATATAAATATTATAAATACATACAATATATATGTATATCTATAAAATCAAGGGTTTAGGGTTTATGAGGGTTTATGAGGGTTTATGAGGGTTTATGAGGGTTTAGGGTTTAGGGTTTAGGGTTTAGGGTTTGTGTATTACAGGTTATAGTTTACCAGCAGAAGCAGCAAAAGTATTACATGGGACACCAACAGATGAGCCAACATCTACTTCTTTTCCTCATCTAGAGGATGGAGACGCCAGCAGCAGCAGCAGCAGCAGCAGCAGCAGCAGTAAGAAAGAATCAGATAAGAGAGAAGATGGATCTAAGGAAGCAGATGCATGGGATGACACAACAGCAGCAGCAGCAGCACCATCAACAACAACACCCAGCAGCAGCAGCAGCAGCAGCAGTAGTAGTAGTAAATCTCCTGCTGCTCCCTCATCCTCTTCCTCTTCATCTACAACCCCAACAACATCCACAACAACAAAAACAACCAGCAGCAGCACCAGTACCAACAGCAGCACCAGTACCAACAGCAGTACCAGTACCAGCAACAACAGCAGCAGTAGCAGTAGCAGCAGCAGCAGCAGCAGCAGCAGCAATAAGAATCGTATAAATAGTAGTAAAGTAATGGATACACGTTACTATGATATATTAGAGGTAAATATAGATGCAACTTTTGCAGAAATAAAGAAAGCATACTATCGTCTTGCTCTTAAATATCATCCAGATAAAAATCCTCATGATCCATTAGCACATAAAAAATTCCAAGATATTGGTATGTAAACCCTAATTATCTAGGGTTTAGGGTTTAGGGTTTACGGTTTAGGGTTTACGGTTTAATAATAAAACGGTTTAATCTAATAATAAAGGCTTTCATATAAAAAAGGGTTTAGGGTTTATATATATATATAATATA